TATACTCGAGTATATATGGTATGCAAGCCAAGTACAAAACAATCACAAAGATCAGACTTATTATCATATTGAATGTCAAGTCTTTATTATCCACATGGACATATTTATATTTATTAACACATTTAACATTCTGTTCAAGATGTTATATCCTCAGATCATATAGCAGTAAATATCACCATGTGGATAAGCCTTCTAAAGGTAAAATATGATATAATTACGAATTTTATTTATTTTATATTACGTAATTGAGTATTTTAGCTATCAGTTCACTGTATGTTTTTGTATCCCCTGAATCTTCAGAATAAACTGATTCATGAGTAATCAAAATGCAAAGTAATAGGTTGTAAATTTCTGTCCAGTTATGTCCACTTGATTAAGAACTGTTTTTTGTTCCAGAAGAGGAATTTATGAATAAAAAGGGAAGGTAAGTCATTCTACATTGTACAATGTCTTCCAAGCCTTTGAACAGATTTTGAAGAAAAAGAAATCAATCAAATTGCTTTCCTCTATTTTCCATGTATCAAATTGTCTGATAGAATTAAGGAGCTTTCCAGATTGACACAACTGGAGATAACCTTCTGCATCTTCATATATAAAATTATTTTTTGCATAATAGTCTGATCAGGATCTGCTCCCAGAATCATAATGAAATATTATCTCATCTACAAAAATCCATACCTCAAAGTTAATTTTTAAGGTAATGTGTCACTGCCACTCATCATACAAGGTCTACAGCATATTCTTTTATTGGTTAGATGTGTATTCTACCTTTCTTCCAAAGGCAAAAGATAGTATACATTGCAGCCCTTTCTCCTTTTTTGTTCTTCCACAATAAACACCCTTTGGCAAAAGCTGAGAAGAGTACACGGTCCAAAATCATGCAGTGAAATTCCATGGTTCATGGATATTATAAAAACTCCTTTCACAGTCCTAGTCCAGCACCTTAGCTATTATAGCACATTAGTGTCTTTTGAGTAAAAATATGTATAATAAGGAATAGAACCACTATGAAAATAATAGGGGTTGTTGTGTTTTGTCCGAAGTCATCTGAAATAGTTGCCACAAGAATTTCCCATATGGACTGAAAGACAAGCTCTCAACGCAATCGCAGTTCTGCTACCAATTGGTCATCTTATGGCTAACAGGGCTAATAAAGAAAATATCTGACTTTGTGAACAGTTGTATGAATCTATCTTTTCCCTACTTTGGGCTACAGCAGAAATAAGAAAGAATAGCTAATAAATAAAGTCATTGAGATATGTAAACATAATATTTCCTTGGCCCAATATAAACATCACTATTTTTAACCTTCTGAAAATGATTAGTAATAAAGATGCAAATGGAACCATACCTTGTTGAAGAGCCATTGATGGACAGCTTGTTTTTTGAAGATAGACTGTTCCAAATATAAGTAGAAGGAGATGCCCTAAAGCCACTGGCATGTTCAAGCTGTAGCTATGTTAAAACAGCGTGGAGACCTTTATAGTAGCCAAAGAAAAACTGTAACACAGTAGGAAAGCACCAACTCGCTCATTAAAGTGCAGGTTACTCATTAATTCAGCTGTAAAGCTTTTAACCAGGCATTAGTATTTTTTTTTCACATTTAGCCAAGCCTGATTCCTTTCCAATTTCTCAGGAGACTGAAGTTCTTTACTTCTTGATGTAAACCTGAATCTTTCTCAAAGTGTCTATACATTAAAAGGAACAATAAAAAGAGGCCTCCTAGCTAGACACCACATAATGGCTTCATGCCAATGTAACTGATGATTAACAACTCTGATTTCATTATAGTTGTTTCCAAGGTTATCCCATGTTATTTAAAAAAAAAGAGTTAATTTTCTGTATTTGAAGATCTGACAGCAAAGGAACCGTTCATGGTGATGCTTTTATCTAAATACAGCGTCCCCGCTCTCACCACTGACTGGGGATTAGGAGAGGCGAGGCCTTTGATGTTTTGAAGCCACAGGTTTGGAGAAGATGAATTAAGAACTATTCAGTAGGTACATTTCCAAAATTAGGTGGTTAGGATTGCCATTTAAGAGCATGCTTTCTATGGAATTCCTACTGAAATCATTGTGCAAAATATGTCANAGGCCTTCCGAAAGGCTATTAAGACCTGGCTGTTCCGGCAGGCTCCGGGCTGTTGAACTCATGACTGAGTTCCAGCCCCGATTAGACTGTGTGTATATTGTGGTCTTTTTTTTAATCTATGTTTCTGTGTTTTTAACTTTTTTATTTTTTAAATGCATTGTTGTAAGCCGCCCGGAGTCCTTCGGGATTGGGCGGCCTATAAATTCATTAAACATCAACATCAAAAATGCATATTGCATCCCTGTTCTATGCATGACTCTACTACTGGCCACCATTGATTTTGAGTTCTATCAACATCCCAGCTACAAACCTCCCTCTAGCTTGGTCTATGGAAATCTGAATTTCAGTCAAGATTGTCCTCAACTACAATTGAGCCCAACAGTTCTGTTGTTAAGTGGAAAATTTATTAAGTGAGTTTTACTCCATTTTACAATGTTTCTTGCCACAGTTATTAAGTGAATTGCTGCAGTTGATAAGTGAGTAACCTGGTTGTTAAGTGAATCTGCCTGCCTCATGACTTTGCTTGTCAGAAGGTCACAAAAGGTGATCCTATGACCATGGGACAAGCAATGTTCCTAAATATGAACCAGTTACCAAGCATCTGAATTTTGATTATTTGATCGTGGGGATGCTGCAAAGGTTGTAACTGGGGAAAAAAATCATCATTCACATTTTTCCGTGCCGTTATAATTTTGAACGATGACTAAATAAACTGTTGTAAGTCGAGGACTGTCTGTACTTTGAAACTGTAATTTATGTTTGTTCTGGACACTCTTCATCCTGTAAGTTCTCAATATGTTATGGCACATCTAGAAATTTTAAATAGGCTGGCAAAGTTATTATTATGAGCATAAATGTTGATCTCTGAATAAAGGTGGAGCATCATAAATTATTCCCCAAAACCTTTTATCTTGTTTTGGGCTTTGATAGTACATGTAAAAGTATTATTCAATGGTTCCCACTATTCCCAGAAGGCAGAAAGGCTGAAAATGACTGGCTACAATAGCTATAATCAAGAGATTATCTCCCTGTGAAACTGAAAAAAGCTGAGTCATTGAAGCATTATTATCATTTCCACTACAATACACCAGAATGACTGTCCACCTGCAAAGACTAAAATAGATTGTGCTTATTCACATTCCTTACCAATTTTAAATGCCCTAATAAAAGCTACATTCTACCAAGTCAAGTATCTGCTTTTTCTAGCTCAAGGCTGACTACGTATTCTTCAGTGGCTAATTAAACAGCCTTGCTTTGAATTTCCACCTGGGAATGGACCTGAAATCTTTTATTAATGAACCATGGCCTTTTCTCCTAAAAGTTTCCTTTGGAATTTTTCTAAAAGTCCCAAAATGGACCTAAAACTACTATAGTATTTTACTACAGTACTGTGTTTCATCATCATCATCATCCACAACAACGTTATCATTACCACCAATACTATCCTCATCATAATCATCACCACCACCACTGCATTCTCCTTAATAAACCTACTGATATAATCAACCAACCTGGCAAGCATCTTTTCCTCCATCTGGAAATCCAGCACACAATATAGTGTGACTCTGAATAGGCCTCCTTAGAGTTGTCAAGATTCTAGAACATTGAGTCTGGTCTAAGATGGGCAATCGGACTTCATGCAGAATGTCAGGGAGGATCCCATCTGGAAAAAAAAAACCCTTAGGAAGTTGCATAGCAGTTGCATCACAAGTTGTCATATCGTCATATTCCATCAAGCTCAGGATTTTCCGTAGGTGCCAGGGGCCTCAAGCCAAGATCTTTGTTTACTGCCTGATCCTTTTTTAAAACTAGTGTTCCAGGGACTGGACCACTAGCCCTCAGAGTATTTTATATGTATTGTGCCATTTTTTCCCCTCCACAAAACATTCAAGCATGAGTTGAAATGGTGAAAGACTTCAATGTGAAGCCAACAGTTTTTTAACTATGTTTTAAATGGGATCACCATTGAAAGCAGAATTTCTAGCCCTAGATGAAAGGAGAACTGAATGTTGGAATATGTGACATCATTGAACATCATTGGATACACACTATCATGCAATTATTTTCATAAATTAAGCAACAGAGTAATAAGCAGATGTTTCTGAATATCTCTACCACAATATCTAATATTTGCTTATATCCATTGAAATTTAGCCTTAGAATGCACTAGAACCAAAGCTGAATTTATTTTGGGACTGAAAATAGTATTGAGCATAGAGAGAAAACACCCCCCAATTTATTGTCATTGCCTCTTCGCTTTCATTTTAGCATTATTGATTTTCATTGTTTGCCTCCCACCTTGGCTTCCCATGGGGGTGGAGGCAAAGGGGGGAGGGGGGAAGAGAGAGAGCTGATAGCACACAAACATAAATCTACATTTAATAATGTAGATTTATGTATGTGTGCTATCAGTTATTTAATAATAGCTCGCTTTGAAGCATGAAATGTGCTCAAATATATATCATCAATTCCTTACTTTCTCTTAAACGACCCCAACCACAGGTGACACATATATATCCCGGGTCAAACTTTTCACGTGGCCCAGGAAGGCATACTGGCCACACTGCTGCACCTAGCATTAAAAAAGATCAAAGTTCTGATTACACATTATTGAATGAATAATGTTAATATGGCTCATGTCTCAATGACAATTTCCTACGCCTTGATAGGTATCAAGAGACCCAGAATAGAAAGTGATTTCTACAAAAGTTAAAGAATAAGTATCAAATATAATGATACACACTATGAAATGGAAACACAATTCTGTTCCAAAACGAACACCAAAATAAAATCCAATATTAGATTCTCTGTGTTTCCTAACTGTTACACCCCAATTTTTAAATTTGTTGTGTAAAAGTTGGAGTTGTGTAAAAGTACCTGACTTTGTATGATCATCTAATGATAAACAAGTCAGGCACAAGCTTTTGGGTGGACAATTAGGGCCTTACCTTCCTCTCAGGATGCATCTTCTCATCACCCACACTTAATATTTTGCCTGTAAATCATCCACATCTTTCCTTTCCCAGAAAGCAATTAACATAGTGCTCTGTTCATAGCTGCACTGTAGGTGGTGAAGGCAGAGTAAAGAAAGAATGTACATACTGTGCTAGTGGAAAGTAATCATGAGACTTCTTGGGAATCAAGCTATGAAAGGCTACTGATTGCTGATACAACCTACTATGTGCTTAAACTTCCTATAGAGAGTAGTATTAGATTGTTATTGTTAGCTGCAAAGTCATGTCTGACCCATCGTGACCCCATGGACGATGTTCCTCCAGGCCGTCCTGTCCTCTACCATCCCCCAGAGTCCATTTAAGCTCACACCCACTGCTTCAGTGACTTGGTTCTACCACAAAACCGCGTTCGACTAAAGCTCGCTCGACGAAACCACGTAGATGACGTCATCACAGGGCGACAAC